ACCTCCCTCTCCACCCGATCCCTCTGGGTCTTCCCAGTGCACCAGGTCCGAGCACTTGTCTCATGCATCCAACCTGGGCTGGTGATCTGTTTCACCCTAGATAATATACATGTTTCGATGCTGTTCTCTTGAAACATCCCACCCTCACCTTCTCCCACAGAGTCCAAAAGTCTGTTCTATACATCTGTGTCTCTTTTTCTGTTTTGCATATAGGGTTATCATTACAACCATGTACAAACATGATATCTGTCACAATAACTAAATAAGGGAATATAGCACAGCTGGAAAGGAGCAGAGTTTAGAATACTATGAGAACTATCTCACTATAATACACACTTGATTATTCTAAAATTAAGATACTAAGTATAATTCACAGCATAACCACCCAGTTCCGCCCCCCAGAAAAAAACACAAAAAATGAAAAATATTTAAAAGCTCCAAACTTAAAAAAAATTTTTTAAACTAAAGAAAAAGAGTGATAGTCACTTTGTACACTAGAAAAGTTCAACTAATCACAGAAAAAAGACAGCAATTGAGGAATGAAGGAGCAAAAAAGGTATGGCACATGGAAAGTAAGAAAATGTCAGGAAAAATCTTTCCTTGGAAGCAATCACCACCATACCAATGTATAAAACTTCGAGATGGATGAAACTGGAGCCCATTATACAGAGTGAAGTAAGCCAGAAAGATAAAGAACATTACAGCATACTAACACATATATATGGAATTTAGAAAGATGGTAATGATAACCCTATATGCAAAACAGAAAAAGAGACACAGATGTACAGAACAGACTTTTGGACTCTATGGGAGAAGGTGAGGGTGGGATGTTTCGAGAGAACAGCATGTATATTATCTAGGGTGAAACAGATCACCAGCCCAGGTGGGATGCATGAGACAAGTGCTCGGGCCTGGTGCACTGGGAAGACCCAGAGGAATTGGGTGGAGAGGGAGGTGGGAGAGGGGATCGGGATGGGGAATACATGTAACTCCATGGCTGATTCATGTCAATGTATGACAAAACCCACTGCAGTGTTGTGAAGTAATTAGCCCCCAACTAATAAAAATAAATGAAAAAAAAACTTTTCAATGAAAACACAGATTGGCAAAGGGGATTAACAACAAATGTCATCCACTATATGTTATCTACAAAAGCCTTGCATTATATCCAAAGACAGATAGTTTTTTTTACAGAGTACCAAAAACAGATTTCTGTGTTAATAAAAGGATCAGTAAGGGGAGATGTATCAGTTATTTATCCATATAATCCTAACAGACCCCAAGAATATATAAAACAATAAATCACAGAACTGGACGGAGTACATAGTTCTAAATAATTCCTGGAGAGAGACTTCAACACTCTATTTTCAATGAAGGATAGGCAGACAGACAGAAAACTGATAATGAAATTAAGTAAGGAACCGCTAGAACTAATTAACATGTGTAGAGCACACAGGCCAGAAAATCACATGTGTTAGGGAAGCTACAGCAAAGGAGAAGGAAAGCTTGCTACCGTTGCTTGAAACAGATACACGTGAGAAGCAACCAGGAAGCATTATCCACAATTCTTCCATTGTGGGTGGCCTGGAGCTATGCTTTCCACAACTCTTTAGAAAGTCAACCTGAACCTGCCCCATGGGCTCCTTTCTGGATGATTGCCCCATGATCTACCTGCTACTGCATTCCATGATCCATCTGCAGTGACCAGCCTACACACACTACACTGGAATTCTTATCCCCAAAGACTAGGCTGCCCCCCAGAAAGTGGGAATCAACCATGGAGCAGTTAAGAAACTATGTCAGCACTCCCTGTCACTATTGGCTAAACACTCCCTTGGTTTCCAGTCTATGGATTAATTGATGATCCCCAGCCTCAGAGTACATGCTGGGAGGGGCCAGGCACCAGGGGCAACCCAGTGCACCTCAGACCAGGATACAGACAATTAACCATAGTTCCCTCCTCAGGTTCTAGGGTGGGAAGACATGGCTGAGGTTGAGAGAGACAACAGAATAGGTACAAGCCGAAGCACAATTCAGGCACCTTTGGCAATTTCAGCCCAGGTTGCCTTCACCTTAAACTAAAGAAAAAAACATTTAGTTAGCAAAGGAGAAGCGAGTTAAAGCTGTCCAGGGTCATGGTTGGGCCATCCTGTTGTGACGACTAAAGTTCTGTTTATCTCCCATCCACCCCACTAATGAAAGAGGGATCCCCTACCCTAAGTAGTGTGAGATGGCCAAGCATGCAACAATGGACAGATGGACAGCCAGCTGTTTGTGAGTCTCATGGACTAACAGCTGGCTGAGGCGGGTGGGGGAGTGGCAACAGGGAATGCCAAGCAGGGCAATTAGGGTGTGAGACTTAAAAGTAGAGTTAACCTGTGGGGACCATGGGAAATAAATGTTGTAGTAACAAGAGGATGGGGGCACATGCACGTTCCCACACGAGGAGATGATTGTCCTATTGGAATATTGCACTGGCTGGCAGGGAAGTAAAACTTGGTGACTGGGGTAATGGGTGGGATGCAGCTAGTCTGGTTGACTGGAGAGAATCAGCTGAGTGGGGTAGTCTTCCCACAAGGAAGGGGACATTGCAGGTGAGAGCAGGAGAAATCACAGTTGGGCCAGTGGGGTAATATGAGTCTCAAAGGCATTAAGGCAGCATTGAAAATTTGAGGTCTTAATATACAGATGGGAATCTTATATAAAGAGGTCTACAGATGAAAAGCAATCCTTTTCAAAATGACAGTGACTTTTTTTTCAGAAACAAAAAAGCTGGTCCTAGAACTCATGTGCAATTACAAGAGACCAGGAATAGCTAAAACGATCTTGTAAAAGAAAATTGGAAGACTCCACTACCCTGTGTCAGAATGTACCATGGCAACAGTAATCAAGACTGTGTGGTACTGACATAATGAAAGACATACAGATCAATGGAATAGAACCCAGATATCTACCCTCAATTGATTTTCCACTGGGATATCAGATCATTAAGTGGTGAGAAGTGGGAATCTTTTCCCCAAAATGGTATGAGGACAGCAGGATATGCATATGCAATAGAATAAAGTTGGACTCTTATATTACGCCAAATACAGACATTAAATGGATAAAGAATTAGCTGTAAGAGCTAAAACCATAAAACTCTTAGAACAAATACAAGGGTATATTAGATTGCTGAGCTTGCTATCACAAAATACCACAGACTGATGGCTTAAACAGCACAGATTTATTTGCTGACAGCTTTGGAAACTAGAAATCCAAGAACAAGGTGTGAGCAGGTTTGGTTTCTTGTGAGGGCTCTCCTGGCTTGCAGATGGCGGGCGAGCTTCTCCCTGCATCCATACATGATCGTTCCTCTAGTGTATACCCATCTCTGGTTTGTCTTCCTGTCACCAAGTATACTTTTGTCTAGGATACCAGTCAGACTCATTAGGGTCTAACCATATGACGTCTGCTGACCTTAAGGTCCTGTCAACAAAAACAACCACATTTTGAGATAATGGGGCCTAGGCATTAAACATGTGGGAATATGGGGGATCCATAATTCAGTCCTCAGAAGGGATAAATCTTCATAACCTTCATCTGGCAATGGATTCGTAAATATGATGACAAAAGCATCAGTAACAAAAGAAGAAACAGATACATTGAATTTCATAAAAATCCAAAATATTTCTGCATCAAAGAACATTAACAAGACAGTGAAAGCACAACCTAGAAAATAGGATAAGAATCTTGTGGCATGCATATATCTAATAAAGGTCTAGTATCCAGAACACATGAAAAACATTTACAACTCAACAAGTAGCCAAGAAATCTGAATGAGAAATGAGCATAGACTGTGAATACAAATTTTTCCAAACAAGATACACAAATGCGCCATAAGGATGTGAAAATAAGCTTAACATCATTAGTCATTAGGGAAATACAAGGAAAAACCACCACATGATGTCACAGTACATTAAAAATGATGAGTAAGTAGAATTTTTTAAGTGAAAAATAAAACATATTTACGAGGATGTAGAGGCACTGGGATCCCTGTACATTACTGTTGGGAAATGCCAAAGAATGTTCAAACTACCACACAATTGCACTCATTTCTCATGCTGGCAAGGTAATGGTCAAAATCCTTCAAGCTAGGTTTCAACAGTATGTGAACTGAGAACTTTCAGATTTACAAGCTGGATTTAGAAAAGGCAGAAGAATCAGAGATTAAACTGCCAACATCCATTGGATCATAGAACAAATTCCAGAAAAACATCTACTTATGCTCCACTGACTATGTTAAGCCTTTCCCCGTGTGGATCACAAGAAACCATGGAAAATTCTTAAGGAGACAGGAATACCAGACCATCTTACAAGCATCAGTTAGAACTGGACATGGACCAACAGACTGGTTCGAAATTGGGAAAGGAGTACATCAAGTCTGTATATTGTCACCCTGTTATTTAACTTATATGCAGAATACATCATGGGAAATGCTGTGCTGGATGAAAGACAAGCTGGAATCAAGACTGCCAAGAGAAATATCAATAACCTCAGATATGAAGACGACACAAACTTTATGGCAGAAAGCAAAAGGGAGTTAAAGAGCCTCTTGATGAAGGTGAAAGACTAGAGTGAAAAGCTGATTAAAAGCTCAACATTCAAAAAAACTAAGATCATGGCATTTGGTCCCATCACTTAATGGCAAATAGATGGGGAAACAATGGAAACAGTGACAGATTTATTTTCTTAGGCTCCAAAGTCACTGCAGATGGTGATTGCAGCCATGAAATTAAAAGATGCTTGCTCCTTGGAAGAAAAGCTATGACAAACCTAGACAGTGAATTAAAAAGCTGAGACATTACTTTGATGGAGTGAAGTGAAGTTGCCCAGTTGTGTCCAACTCTTTGCGACCCCATGGACTGTAGCCTACCAGGCTCCTCCCTCCATGGGATTCTCTAGGCAAGAATACTGGAGTGGGTTGCCATTTCCTTCTCTCAATTGAGGGTAGATATCTGGGTTTATTTCCAGACTTTGATGACAAAAGTCCATATAGTCAAAGTTTTTCCAGTAGTCATGTATGGATGTGAGAGTTGGACCATAAAGAAGGCCGAGCACCAAAGAATTGATGCATTCGAACTGCAGTGTTGGAGAACACTCTTGAGAGTCGCTTGGACTGCAAGGAAATCAAACCAGTCAATGCTAAAGGAAATCAACCCTGAATGTTCACTGGAAGGACTGATGCTGAAACTGAAGCTCCCATACTTTGGCCACCTGATGCTAAGAGCCAACTCATTGGAATAGACTCTGATGCTGGGAAAGATAGAAGGCAGGAGGAGAAGGGGACAACAGAGGACGACATGGTTGGATGGCATCACCAACTCTATGGACATGAGTTTGAGCAAACTCCGAGAGATAGTGAAGGAAAGGGAAGCCTGGCGTGCTGCAGTCCATGGGATTGCAAAAAGTCAGGCACAGCTGAGCGGCAGAACAACTGGACAACAGCAAGTAGCTGTAGAAAAGAGTCTGAAAGCTCCTGAAAGAGTTAAAAGCCTTATGGTTGTCTCATCAATTCCACTGTTAACTACATAAGCCAAAGAATTAGAAGTATTTGTTCAAACAAAAGGTAACAAAAAGTTCTATGCCCATGTTCATAGCAGCCCTAACCGAAATGGGAACCCAAATGGGAAACATCCCAAGGATCCATCAACTTGTCCTCAACTTGTTTCACATTCATGAACAAAAGTGATCCTGTCACTTTTTGCGGCATAGCATTCAGCTGCAAAAAGGAATGAGAGAGGCCAGACACAAAAGGTCACATATTGTAGGATTTTATTTCTCTCCGCTATCTAGAAAAGGTAAGTTCATAGAGGTAAACAGAAGGTTAGTAGTTATCAGAGCCTGGTTGCAGTGAGGGGGAAATGGAAAAGGACTGATTACTGGCATGGGGTTTCCTTTAGGAGTGATGATTTATTTGGGGACAACAGAGAGAAAGGCTGAAAAGCATTGTGAATGTACTAAATGCCTGTGACATTCACCACAATAGTGCAATAATATTTTTTAAACATAAAAAGTGCTTATTGGCTTAAGACTTCTGCAAATAGACTGGGAATTGACTTCAACAAATGCTGGGCTTCCTTTGTGGCTCAGCTGGTAAAGAATCCACCCGCAATGCGGGAGACCTGGGTTTGATCCCTGGATTTGGAAGATCCACTGGAGAAGGGAATGGCTACCTACTCCAGTATTCTAGCCCGGAGAATTCCATGGACTGTGTAGTCCATGGGGTCGCAAACAGTTGGACATGACTGAGTGACTTTCACTTTTCAACAACTGCTAAAATGCATCCTTTAGGAAAACTTTTTGAACATAATACCAGGGAACAACATAGAGGAATACTTGAAGATACCACTAAATTTTTTAAAGATGCCCCTATAGTGTTAAGGGAGATACTGAAGATAGCCAATAGATTTATTTGCCTTAAGAATCTTATTATTGTGGTGTTTCAGTGCTCCAGATCATAGAAGCCATTCTCCTAAAATATCCCGTAGTGGGCATAGGCTCTTGGACATATGGCTCATAAAGTTAAATTGAGTCTTTGTCACTTAGAAATGGGCTTGACAGCTTGGGACCCAATGGACTATCCCCGTTGAAAATACTGAGTATGAGTTAGGTAAAACAAAACAAGGCCGATATAAGGGGTGAAATCTATAATGCATAAGTTCTATGTAGGGAAGGGTTGATTATCTTCACTGTGTCTCCTACTAAAGGCCATAACTCCCAAATACCATCATCTGGGGGATGGAGTGGGTAAACATTTAAATATATGAATTTGGGAGGGGGTGTCACTGTTTAGTGTAGAGCAGGTGATTAGCCCAGTCATGAAAAGAAGTCTCTATTCATTTCTTGGAGCCATGAAGTGAATTGGGGAGCCCTGATGAATCCCTTTTCAGCTCCTATTTTTACTCCTTCCACTCTCCATTCTCCATTCTCGAGGCATCCATGTAAACTTGTATGTTCTTTTCTAAGTAGCTTTAGCAACATTAAAACCTCCAAATTCTCCTTCTGTCTCTCACAGGAGCTTTAAACAGTTGCTCATATGTGATCTATACACTTTATCTTTTTCTTCTTAATACATGTATATATATGTGTGTGTGTGTGTGTGTGTATACGTGTGTGTGTGTATATATATATATATATATATATATATATATATATATATATATGTATGTTATTGACATATAGTTGACTTACAAAGTTTCAGGTGCACAGCAAGGTGATTCAGTTATACATATACACATATATTATTTTTCAGTTTATTTTCCATTATGGGTATTTCAAGAGATTGACAAAGGAATTACAGTTCTCAGTGTTATATAGTAAAACTTTGTTGGTTGTTGCACATCTTTTTTTTAAATTAGAAATCTAGCATTCTATTCATACTAAGTCAAACAAGTGGAATCAATCTGTCATAAATTTTTTAGTTAGGCAAACATTAATAAGTTTTCTAAAATATATATTATACATACTAGTGAGTAACTATTATTCACTTAATACCATTGTACCATGATTGGGTAACAGAAAAGTAATAGAATTCTATATCACCAAAGCTACCATTTAATAGAAAAACCTGTAATCACTCTTTAAAATCCTGACACATATCAGAATTATCTTAGAATTTTTTGAAAAAATGCCAAGGTATTGCTTTTATTCTCCAAAGCCACAGATATGTTGCTAATGAGCAGCCATGCTTAAAATCAACTGGACCATAATGATGATCTTTTAGTTTTATCTAGTTTGTTTCATTTTTTTCCTACTTCCTACTTGGTGCTCCTGTTTAATTTATTTTATGTTTTCCAATTTCTCCATCTCTTTCTTTTGATGTTCTTTCTCAAGCCTTTATTAACTTTTTAAAGTAAGTGTATCTCTGATGACCTGAGCTGACACAAGGTGGCAACTGGGGACCACACACAGCTTCTCATACCCCAGGGTGCCGCCCTACAGGGGCATTGTGGTTTTGTTTTTGCAATGGTGCAATGTAAAGGAAGGGACTCTTGTGGGCTCCAAGTATGACCTGGGGCTGGAAGGCTTCCCTGCCGTCTCAAAGCCTTGATCACTCATTGGACGGCGGTCATGCCAACCCTTGCCTCCTGGCAAATGAGCTTAGAACTGGCGTTGGAGGAAGTGGTCCCCGGTTGACCCTTCCAGCTCCACCTACCGCCGCCAGCCCATCAGGGTCTTTCCCGCCTGTCCAGCCATCTCAGCCTCGGCCTGGTGGGCCGGTCTGCGGGCCGCCCTCTTGAAGTTCCTGTTGTGGGGCCTACACCAGCAACTCGCAGACTCCTGTTCCCTGTGCAGCCATAGTCTCTGCCGTCCGCACCCCCACCCTGCGGTCCCACTGCCAACAGTGTCTCCTCGGCGCGACACTCAGCCCGGCGGCCGCCATCTTCCCCGCAGACGTCACTGCAGGCGCATCACTGTCTGGCACGTCTGTCCTGCCATGTCTGCCACAGAGGAGCACGACTGGATCCCAGGTGGCCAGGATAGAGCTGGTGGCGGGGCGGGCCGCGACCCCAGTCTCCTTGGGGTCCAGGCATCCGCTTGGGAGGGGATGGAAGGAGTCGAGGAGGCCACGGCTCTTCTGGCCTCCTTGGAGGTCTCCAGAGCCCTTCCCGGGGAGCAGGGTTGGCCACAGGCCACAGTGGAAGAGAAATGTGATAGAGAGCCGTTAGAGGAGGAGGAGATGGAGGAAGATGTAGAGGAGATGGAGGAGGAGGACGAGGAAGAGGGTGAGGCTGATTTCGAGTTGGAGGACGTGGAGGAGGAGGAGCACCTGTCGGGAGAGGTCGAGGAAGAGGAGGACACAGAAGAGGAGGACGAGAATGAGCAGGACGGTGCGGCAGTGGTTACAGGCCTTGGGTTCTCTGCGGAGAGGTTTGGGCCCCTGTTCTGGAGTCAGGTCGACTCCTTTCTACGCAATTTACATAACAACAAACATGTCCTCTTCCGGCCTCACGCTGACCGCCTGATGGCCAGGGGCCGCTCCCAGCCACTCTCGGACCCTGGAGAAGGTCCCGTGCCTCCTCAGGAGCAGGAAGACCTGGGAGAGGGAGGCAAAGTCTTGCAGGGTGAGTACCCAGTGGAGGGCGCTCCACCCTGGGAGCTGCGGAATCCTGCGGAGGGGGTTGCATCCTAGAAGGCAGGGGAACCGGCAGTGGAGGCCGAGTTCTGGGCGAGGGAGCCCTGACTGCTGCCTCTGAGACTGGGAGGTTGAGGCCTGTGGCCCCGGAGGGGCCGAGGTGGGCAAGTGGTGGCTAAGCCTTCAGGCCCTTGTGGGGCCATTGAGCTCAAAGGCAGGTCTCTGGCAGTCAAGCAGACGGTCAAAACTCTCAAAAACCCCTGGGCACAATTTGCACAAGTGGAAGGCCAATTCTATAGACCTTCATGGTCTCGAGATAAAGCATGCTGCCTTCAACCAACCTAGAGGCAAACAAGTGGCATTCCTCCCTTTTGGTCAATGGCTTTAAAAAATGTGAATATTCTCGGTAGGAGGATCTCAGCAAATGGTGACATAGCACAGGGGCACTTTTCAGCGATTGAGGAATCTCCCATAGAATTTTTTTTTTTTATAGCCTTACTTGAATGTGGGCTGTTTATTTATTTTTTCATTTATTTTTATTAGTTGGAGGCTAATTACTTTACAATATTGTAGTGATTTTAGCCATACATTGACATGAATCAGCCATTTGTCTTTAAATCAAAAGAACATTTTTTCCATTGAGGTTCCGACAAACACATAGAAAATGGTATCAGTATCAAATGATTCGGATCCCTTCTCCAAAGGGGCCAGAAATAATCAGATCTGTGTGAGATCTACTGGAAAGGGGGGAAAAATGTTTGTGAAAATTGTCAAGCAGCAGACATGGGGGTGGGGGCTAGAAATGTATCAAACAGTAGAAACATGTCCAGCTATTATTTGTTTTTTCTTTTATTAAACATAGTCCTCTTCTCTCAGGCCTAGACTCTGCTGCTGATTTTAAGTTGGGATATTTTCCCTGCCAACTTTTGACACCAAAGTCTGCATCATTCTGCCCTAATGATGAGGGTGAGTATCAGTATGAAAACGCTGATGAAGAGGAAGAGGATGGAAATGAAAAACCTGAAGGACTCTAAATGGATATGGTCTCAGCAAGGAGCAGCTCTGGATAATACAGGTATGATCGTATAGGCTTTAGTATGACATAACCATTCCTGACGCATACCTGTCACTAACAGCTTTATATTTTTTTAATTTTTCTTCTGTAAAGTAAATAAGAAAATTGTTGAAACTTAATTTTGGAAAAACAGTTTATTGTTAATAATGTATTCTAGATAATGTAGGAGGCAGTATGTTCTG